TGTGTGTGTGCGTGTGTGTATGTATCCGTATGTACAAATGTGTGTGTATGCATTTGTATATGTATGCATGTGTGTGTATGTATGTAAATGTATGTATGCATATGTATGAATGTGTGTGTGCGTGTGTGTATGTATCCGTATGTACAAATGTGTGTGTATGCATTTGTATATGTATGCATGTGTGTGTATGTATGTAAATGTATGTATGCATATGTATGAATGTGTGTGTGCGTGTGTGTATGTATCCGTATGTACAAATGTGTGTGTATGCATTTGTATATGTATGCATGTGTGTGTGTATGTATATGTATAAATATGTGTGTGTGTGTATGTATGCATATGTACGAATGTGTGTGTGCGTGTATTTATGCCGCGCTCACTGATTGGTCGGACTGATCTCTCCCCATGTCTGCGTAGGTTTCCTCCAGGTGCTACGGTTACCCCTACCACTATAAACATGTACAGTAGCTACCCCTGAGAAGAGCCTTTCCTGGTTAATTAAAAAATAATCATAATACATTTTTGGTATGAAATAAAGTACATAGTGAAGTGAAATTGGGACTTGAAGTTTGAGAGAATTCTAAAAACAGCTACATCCTTTAAAGCAGAATCCTTATATATTCATTTAGGCCGAGTATAGCACATCCAGAGCACAGAACCGTCAACATCTGAAAGAACAATAGCTATTCTCCTCCTTATGTACGGATCTATACCTCAAACACATTTACTGTTTTAAACAATGGCCTCGTGTTAACTTTGTGGAAATAGCAGCATCAATCACAGCGCAAAAATAAACCAATGCAGGATAATTAAATAAGAATATCCAGAGGGGTTTTTTATTTTTTTTTTTTTGGTTTCCGACAAAAATAAATCCAGCTTTTGTCACCTGCCCTAAATTATGTGTGTCTAGGTGTCACTCCCAGCTCATCAGCTCCGAGGTCGCTGTGATAAGAATGTATGGATTGACTTCATGACTATCCATCACTTATGACACAAACACATTGTAATCTATTTTAAACAGCAGGGAGTGATGCTGATGATGCTCGGCAAGAGACGCACAACATACACAATTATGAGCGCTCATATAGGTAATCAATTCCCTCATTTTAACCACAGGGTAGAGAAAGGCTTTAAGGCAGAGAAGGCCACGGCACTGCATCAACAAACTAATATGTGTCCACTTAACCCTGCGCCTTCACTTAATAATATACGTTATTATGACTAAAGTGTCCAATTTAAAACCTGCGCAAAGTTTGAGAGTGTTATTGGAACGTTATCTAGTCACAAACTCAACAGCACTTTGAAAAGTCGTACGGCAAATAACATTAAGAGTTGTTGCTAACATGTGCAGATGAATACATGCACCTACTGTATATATGTATCGCACTAGAAAATATAAAGTCTTACCTACTTCTTTATTATATTAAAGTCAGAGATTTTATACACAATTCTGGCGTCTTTACAACGCTATAGTTAGTGATTATAGACTTGCTTCTTTATTATGCTAAAGCTATAAATGTTATACTAGCTTCTTTATTATGCTAAAGCTAGTGATATAATACTAGATTCTTTATTATGCTAAAGCTAGTGATTTTATACTAGATTCTTTACTATGCTAAAGCTAGTGATTTTATACTAGATTCTTTACTATGCTAAAGCTAGTGATTTTATACTAGCCTCTTGTTATGCTAAAGCTAGAAATGTTATACTAGCTTCTTTATTATGCTAAAGCTAGTGATTTTATATTAGCTTCTTTATTATGCTAAAGCTAGTGATTTTATAATAGCTTCTTTATTATGCTAAAGCTAGAAATGTTATACTAGCTTCTTTATTATGCTAAAGCTAGTGATTTTTTACTAGCTTCTTTATAATGCTAAAGCTAGAGATTTTTTAGAATTTTAGTATAGAGTTAAATTATTCATTCATCTTGTGTTGTGTGCTCCTCATTCCTACCGTTCCGTAACCGGTAATACAACACTGACATTTCCCCACTGTGGAACATTAAAAAAAAACATCTCAACACCATTGAGGGAATTATTGGAAGTTCCTCATGTCGCAAACTCAACAAAACACTTTGCTAACTCGTGCGTCAAACAACACAGTGTGACTGATAGAAGTTTTGGTCAAAGTTGCGTTAAATAATGTGGGGCCGGGCCAGGCTCCAGTCGATCGGAACCACACGGTCACGTCCCGGTTCATTTACTCTGCATATTGGGCTAATACAGCAGACTATGTGGCAGTAAACAAATACATCAGCTAATGGGAACTGGCAACGATTTGGCAACAGCAGCTTAACTTACGAGTCATTTAAGAGAAAGCGTGTCGGATGAAGTTGAATATTACTTGAGAGAAAGGAACAATGTGTTGTCGTGGCGATAAAGGGGAATGAAAATGTTTTGAGTTTTCTTTCTTGCATAAAAGTAAAGCAGTCTGTTATGTTTGCCTTGTCACATGCATTCAGTTCATCCTTTTCTCCCCGGGGGTCAGCTTGTCACGTCAGAAATCATCGTGCTTTGGATTAGACTCATATTTGTGAAGGAGGAGACGACACCAGGCCTGTTCTGTTGCAAAAACAGTGTCATGGAAAGTATCGACATGTTGTAATGATGATACTTAAGGTGATAATCTCACAAGGATTATTACAAACATGTACAAAAGGTAACAAGAGGGGCAGGACTGGGACTGGGCAGGGCTGGACTGGGCAGGGCTGGAGGCTGAGGCAGGACTGGACTGGGCAGGGCTGGAGGCTGAGGCAGGGCTGGACTGGGGCAGGGCTGGAGGCTGAGGCAGGACTGGACTGGGCAGGGCTGGAGGCTGAGGCAGGACTGGACTGGGCAGGGCTGGAGGCTGAGGCAGGACTGGACTGGGCAGGGCTGGAGGCTGAGGCAGGACTGGACTGGGCAGGGCTGGAGGCTGAGGCAGGGCTGGACTGGGCAGGGCTGGAGGCTGAGGCAGGACTGGACTGGGCAGGGCTGGAGGCTGAGGCAGGACTGGACTGGGCAGGGCTGGAGGCTGAGGCAGGACTGGACTGGGGCAGGGCTGGAGGCTGAGGCAGGACTGGACTGGGGCAGGGCTGGACTGGGGCAGGGCTGGAGGCTGAGGCAGGACTGGACTGGGGCAGGGCTGGAGGCTGAGGCAGGGCTGGACTGGGGCAGGGCTGGAGGCTGAGGCAGGACTGGACTGGGCAGGGCTGGAGGCTGAGGCAGGACTGGACTGGGCAGGGCTGGAGGCTGAGGTAGGACTGGACTGGGCAGGGCTGGAGGCTGAGGCAGGGCTGGACTGGGCAGGGCTGGAGGCTGAGGCAGGACTGGACTGGGGCAGGGCTGGAGGCTGAGGCAGGACTGGACTGGGGCAGGGCTGGACTGGGGCAGGGCTGGAGGCTGAGGCAGGACTGGACTGGGCAGGGCTGGAGGCTGAGGCAGGACTGGACTGGGCAGGGCTGGAGGCTGAGGCAGGACTGGACTGGGGCAGGGCTGGAGGCTGAGGCAGGGCTGGACTGGGCAGGGCAGGAGGCTGAGGCAGGGCTGGACTGGGCAGAGTCTGGACCAAAAACCGAACCTGAGTCAACAAGGAAAAACAATTAACGAATAAATCTAGTATTTCAGGAATGAGCAAAGAAGTAATACCATGAAAGTTTTACCGACAATCTGGCACATGGTGAAGGATGAACAAGGTGAGGATGAACCAGGTGAGGATGATGGGCTGTAGGTGTAAGAGGCTGAACCAGGGGCAGGACCAGGACTACAGACACTATTTCATGAAGATTGGTAACACTTTAGATTAGCCCTCACTTCCATCCATCCATCCATTCATCTTCTTCCCCTTAATCCATTTCTGGATCGGGGGGGTGTCAGTCAGAGCTACACCCAGTCCACACAGCACCAGCCCCTCACTGATCCTCCTGCTGGTGCTGAGTCCACAGGAGCCCACACTTATTAACAGCTAATTTGGTGCTAATTAGTGTCTACCCTGACCCTAGCCATAACCTTCACCTTCTTATGAATCAATGATAAGGAATAAGCCGCCCAAATCCAGCCCTGAACTGCAGGTTGTCGGCCCATGCACTAAAAACACTAACCCTAACACATTGGGTTGTTGGATTAGTTTCATTTTCATTTCTTTCTGCTTTCATAGAATAGCAGAGAATTATCTGAATTAAAAACTATAATAATCTATCAATAATAATCAATAATCTCTCATATGTTTGTGTCACTAATAATCTGTATTTTATATGTATGTCATTAGTGTTTCTAGTTTTACTTTGTCTCTCTCAAAGGTTCAATTCCAGCAGAGGGCAGGAGGGGTGCGAAGGATTTTTTTTTTAAAGTGTTAGTCTTTATTTTTGTGTGTTTATGTAATTTTTTGTGTGTTTAAATGTGTGTATTTATGTTTAGGAGCCCCTCGAAAATGAGATGATTGATCTCAAGGGGCTTTGCTTAATTCAATTCAATTCAACTTTATTACAGACTAGGTCCAATTTAAAACAGACAAGACAAAAGAAAATAACAAACAAATAGTTATGACTTTAAAAGACAGCTTTAAGTTTTGTATGTTTAAATTAACTTAAACATAAACTTAATATGCAATTCATTTATTAACTCGTGGCAGCCCTACACGTATCTATACTCTATGAAACTAATGTGGCTTTAAATGAATGACACATGAGAAATGGTAAGTTGTATTCTGAGGGTGCATGTGTGGTTTTCAGGGTCATATACACTTTTTTGATGTAAAAAATATATTAGTATTTATTAAGTATTTGAAAGAATATTCCCAATATCCCAACATATTTTTTTTTACACTAATTATATTACTGTGTGTGATTAAAAATCCATTTGTGAAATCACTGTTGTTTTATGAGATCGCATAGAAACATATCAACAAGCCACAAATGTGTTTTTAAATGTGGACATAAGCTTCTGTTTCTAGTTTATACAAAATGACTCTTTCCACTGTCCAATCCATCCTGCTCTTACATCTTCATACAACTCTCCACAGTTCTACTTCCTTGTGTCCTGAATGGCCTCCGTGGCTCCTCTCGGCTGCACCTCCATCGTCCCGGGGCTCTCGTGGCTGCCTTCCTGATCATTCCAGAGCATCCTTTGGAGATTCCGGCGCCTTTCTTCCCACTCCCACATCCCCGCTGCCTCCTTTTCAATCTGCAGGCTGGGTTTTGATGGGGTTGCCAGGTGCTTTTGGCCCCACCATATGTCCTGTGACTCTGCTCTCCTGTGGATAAAGGAAGCTGGAACCAGATCTGGATCTACCTCCAAGACGGACTTTACGCTCAAACTCTTGGCGTGTGAAAGAAAGGCAGAAAAGGCATGCTTAAATTCAGTTTCTAAAGTCTTCCGGCTAACCCTAGAGGAAGGGTTCAGATGTGGCGTGGTGGAATGGCAGACATTTCTCTTCAGCCGGTCCCAGGGGCTTTAGAGAACAGATCTCGTTTGAAGGCCCGAGTCGGTGCGGTGTGTCCAGTGACCGCATCGCCGTCCAGGGTTTGTGCCTGTCATTCAGTCACAGTCTGGCGATCACTGCTCCACGCCGCTTCATTCTCCTCACTATAGTGTCTTTCTATGGCCGCCAGACTCCCCTTTAAAGCCCCAAACTTGGACGCTGAGTTGGATCCGGGCTGTGATTTGGCACCGGGGCGCACACAGTCGCAGCTGCCCCTTCTGCCTGGAGGTGAGGCCTGGGACGCCCGATAGTTCTGCTCACCGCGGAGACTGGCTGCTGTGAAATGAGCCGAATTATGCTCGTTGAATAAAAGAGGAGCAGAAATGTCTCTGTTTGCAACATCAAACTTTACCGTTATGAGAGATATTTAACGTTTGTAGATCAATTCCTCCAAACACATTTGTCAGACACACAAAAGTCAATGCTCCCAATTTGTTTTTTTACCATATTCCAAATTCTCAACAATTAGAGCATTGGTTTGATTCCTCCTCCAGACTGGGGTTTTTTGGAGTCTTCATGCTTTAGGTTTCCTCCAGGTGCTCTGGTTTCCCCCACCACAAAAAATAAGCTTGTATGATAGGTTGAAAAAGAGAATCTGGAATCTCTTTGGGACTTTCCTGGTTAAATAAAAGGTCAATCAGAAAATGTAAAAGGCCTGAGGTTTGCACAGGTGAGAAAGTACATTGTGCTGTCTGCTCCTGGTGCAGAATACTTCATAAATGTGGATTGTTTTTAACCAAACATTGTCTGTTTGAAAAGCGCTTCATTAATAACATTTGATTGATTGAACTTGTATCTAGAGAGACCTTTCGAGACCAGAAGCACACTTTTTTACTGATAGTAGACGTACCCAAAACTGCAGCTCCACATGGAAACTCTCGCTGTTTCAATGGCCCATCAGGACTTTATACAGTTGCTGATTCGCAAACATGTGATGCAATAATAACAATAACAACAAACACATAGAACCCAATGTTCATAAATGTTCATAAATGTTGTTTACGTGTGCGATGTTCAGGAATGATGACATCTGTTCTTTACTGAATACGGCCACACAATGAAACCATGAGATCTAAATCCACATGTGTTTGTCTGCATGAGGTCAACTGTATGTCCTATTCAAAGAAATCCCAAAATCACCCAAACATTTTTGAACTCTACATTCCCAAAGTTGATCCCACACATCATAAAGCATTAAGAAGTCGCACCGTCAGAGTCCTCCCCCGTGTCCTGAACTCCCCCCTCAGCTCTGCGAGTGTGTGTGTTATGACAGTCTTTAAATGAGTGGCGGAGCTCTCGTCTCCATCACCTCGCAGAGATGACAGGGCCCGCAGCGGCGCCTCCCAGTGGCCGGACAGGGCTCAGCTGTTGGACCCGCCGCCTGACAGCTCTGGCAGGTACTTGACCTTAACTGCTTTTGGCTTTCCCGCTGGTCTTCGCCTGGGCCTGGGCTCGGTGTGAGGCGGACCACGCGGCTCCACGGACCTTCTGGGCGTTCTGACAGAGTTTGCAGTCCCGCAGTCTCCCACCGTGTTGCTGCAGTCGCGCTGTTTATTAATGAGCGCTTGTTTTTGTTGTAAGAAGAAGCCGTGAGGTGTTGTTGATCTCAGAGGATGCATCACCGGTTTGCAGGTTTCCCACTCTTTACAATCAACAATTCATTTCTGGTTTGTTAAATGGAGCAAATACAGTACGTGAAAGTAATTTTTCCCAATATTGTATAGAATGGGGCGACAGTAGCTCAGTCGGTAGAGCATTGGCCTTTGGGCCTGAAGGTCGTGGGTTCAAGCCCACCATAAGACCTACTTCACGACTCCCACTGACGACTGCTGTCGTTGTGTCCTTGGGCAAGACACTTAACCCCACTTTGCCTGAAGCTCCCACTGAAAGATCTCAGCTCCTGTGGACTCAGCACCTGCAGAAGGATCAGTGAGGGGTTGGTGCTATGTGTACTGGGTGCAGCTCTGACTGCCACCCCCCCGACCCAGAAATGGATGAAGGGGAAGAAAATGGATGGATGGATGGATGTATAGAATGGGCTGGTCTGAAAGGACATAATACTGTTCTTATAACAATTAAACATACAACAAAAGGCCTTTTGTTTGTCCCGCAGTGGTAACATTATGTGTCTAAGATAGCATGACCAGAGCGAAGTCTAATTCAGGGTGGGACCAAACCATTTTCAGCCCCCCCCCCCAAAAAAAATATTCTAAACTTACATTACATTGAGGGGAAGAATGTACTATGGGCTAGCATCACATCTCATATGTAATTGTAAAGCTAATTTCTTGCTGATTCTATAGGGACAGAGCACAAAGCGGCTGAAGTACGTTGACTTGTAGATCCTTGTTGTGCGTTTTTAATGACATTCATGGACTTTGGTCATCCCACCTCATTTGACTGTTTGATTCTCTGATCTGATCAACTTTGACCATGTTTACGGTGGGTTTAAGGACACTTCAATTCAATTCAATGTAAAGCCCTGAGTCACAACAGTAGTTATCGCTGAGGACAAACGGATCAGAGAATCAAACATTTCAAACTCAAGAAATGCAAATGATAAAAACACAATGGTCTTGGTCCATAAAGAGAAGATGACCAATGTCCATAAGTGTTGATAAATGATCGTAAAGTGGTAATGATCGAGGGCGTTGAAACAGATTTATGGACATTTCTCATCCTGCCCCCTATGGGCCGATGGCTGCTACAGAATGTGTTTGTTGTCATTCCATTTCTTGTGTACAAATGAGTCTTTGATCCATGTTGGCGAATCGACAACTTTGGTAAGTTTAGTTTACTTTAGTTTAGTTCCTTTTTCACACACACACACACATACGACAATATGAAGCTCAGTGAGAAATCAATTACAAACAAAAAAAATATTTATAATAGTAACAAAGTATTTTACAATTCAGGAAATAATTAAATTGTGTACTTTTAAAAATAGGAAAATAAATGAATTAAAACATTAAATCTGCCAGAACCCCAGAATGTTCTTCATTGGCTTCAGTCACACTCAAATATAAATATTTATGTCCTTTTTAGTTTCAACAATATATACACACAGACACATATATACCAACTCTTATACACATATGTCTTTGGTGTCCAACCGGTCCAGAAAGGTCCGCTCTGGCTGCAGGTTTTCCATCAGACTAAGCAGGAGCAGAGTAGACTCCTCCCATTTAATCAAATCTTCAGGTCAAGACTGAATGGGCGGAGTGAAGAGGATATGGGCGGAGTCTGCTCTACTCCTGCTGGGTCTGATAGAAAACCTGCAGTCACAGCGGACCTTTCTGGACCGGATTGGACACACTCTAATGTTCATGTGTGCAAAAATATAGCTTTAATCTATTTTGAAAATGCATTTTTTCACTCCTTTTGATCAAAAAGAAGGGCAACATACGTCTTCCAAAAACAACTATATACTGTTGTGATTTAGGGCTATAGTTAAACAAATGAATTGAGTTGTGATTTCAAATATTACATAAATATAATCAATAATAATGAGCCACGTGTGTCACCACCACATCGCAGGAAGAAGCACATAACGCCTTTAACTTCTAAATATTCAGGACCCTCTAGTGCTCTCCTCTCGTCGGCTTCGGGATATTTGACAAGCACTTGACCATTCATCGCTAGAACTGCTTATAATATTTCACCAGAGATTATCAAAGATGCAACAAGACGATCTTAAAACGCCAAATCCCATATACGTCAGCCTTCCCCCCCTCTCTCCACTTTGAGGCCAGAAACTTAGCATGTGGCTAATCAGACGTCGTGCACGGTTAGCGCGCGGCGGTTGGGATCTACATGCGTGTGCGGAGAACCGGCTGAATTTTTTACACCGTCAACGCGGATTCCCATTGCTCCAGCAGACACCGTCCCATGTCACAATGGGAGAGATGTCAGCCCACTTTGAGCCCGCTCTGAATTAAACATAAACTTTGTCGATGTGATAAAACACAACCCCGCATCTCCTTCACCCCGCCCCGAGGCACACAGGCAAATTTGGTACACACCCATTCCAATCAGCTTAAACACATTTCAGACGCAGTCAAAGTCGCTCATAATTATCCATTCCAAATTCCAAGTGGCAGTTTTTTGGGTCATCTATAGGATCATGTCTCAGTAGTCCCAGGATGGCCAAGAAAGTAAAGTCTTAGAGATAGGGGAGGGGATATTTTATTAATGGGGGCTATTAATATTCCAGCGCAGAGGGTCTGGGGTGTTTCTTTTTTCGCAGTGGCATAATGAATAACTGAGGACCTCCTTGGTACCCGATTCCTCTGCATGAATATTCAGGAGCTCCGGGCGTATCGTGGGAGATCGGAGAGAGCGGCTCTTGGTTCGACGCGAATGGATCACACCCGGGCCTTTTGTCTCACCTCCCGGAGACGGAGGAGTAGATAAACACCGCTTCCCAGTGACTATTTTATGATTTCAACGCCGGGGACATCGGTAATTAACATTTACAGTGCGAAAATACACTGCGGTCTCAAGAGCATGTGTGTTTATGTTCAGGACGTAAGTGGGTTTTGGAGGCAATAAGGTCAAGGGCAGAAGGAGGAAGGCAGCGGTGGCCAAGTTTACCGTTTTTTATTCTATATATATGTACTTTATTACATGCTTTGCACAGTACATCTCTACGTGATTAAAGCAAATTTTAAGTGCCGTATTAGACACACTTTTTTGTTGTCTTTTTGCTCATTGTGACAAACAAGAAAAGTAAATAAAATATAATAACAACACACATTTTAATAATGAATAGATACATAAGAGGGGCCTGGATTAGCGTTAAAAAACAGATTTTTTGTCACACTGAATCTACAGCCAGCGCCATGCAGAGAAAAGACAAAGAGACAAAACAAACATATAAACTCATTCTAAAAGGATTACCGTTCTTCATTCTTTATGTAGCCGATGTTTACTAACTGACTTCAAACAAGCTGAAGAAAGTTAGCTTAACTCTCTGAATGTACATAAAGCCCAGATTGAAAAGGGTTTGAACTTATCGTGCGATTCCTTGTCTGCTCTAAAGGACGTCACACAAAATAGATATAAATTAACATTAGGTTTTTCTGAAATATTTAGAATGAGCTGACACTGAGTTATAGAAGGTTTGATGTGATCAGCTCCACCTTAAGTCCTCTTGTTCCATTTACATTTTGCTCACAGCCGCAGTGTGAAAAAAACATGTTTAACTTAACAATGGAGATCTGGTCTAGTTTATGCGGCGCCACCTGCAGGTGAAAAGCCAGATCCTCTCAAACCTCTGAAACTAAGCAGGGTCTGGTTAGTGCGGTGATGGGAGACCTCTGAGGACACATTGCCGTGTGTGTGTGTGTGTGTGTGTGTAAATGGATGGCATCTGTCATGTCATTTTCTACCCCTTTATTTTTCCATGTCTGGGTCGGGGGGTGGCAATCAGAGCTGCCACCCAAGTCTCATAGCACCAGTCCCTCGCTGGTCCTCGTGCAGGTGGTGGTCCACAGGATGATGGCTTCTCCGTCATCAACAAGATGGCCTTGATCTTTCAGTGGGGGCTTCAGACAATGTGGGGTTAAGTGTCTTGCCCAGGGACACAACGATAGCAGACATCAGTATAGGAGCAGGTGGTGAGCTCGAACCCATGACCATTAGGTCCAAAGACCAGTGCTCTACCAACTGAGCTACTGTCGCCCCCAGATGGATATATATATAGCCCTGAAAGATAGATGGCATCTTTGAGGGCTATATAAAACCACTGCAATTATTTAATACAATGAGATTTGATTAGATTCCTTTGAGTCCACGTTGTCACAGCAACAAAACAGGGATATATTGTATAATCATGAATGCTTTTCTAATCAATGCTGACGTGTGTTTGGTTAATGTGGACAACTGTAATCGTAGAATTGATTGTGATCATGGATGAGCACATCCACAGAGCCTTGGGTGTGTCTATGTATGGAAATGATCATTCACTAATTGCTTGTAACCTGCACCTTCTGATGTGCATGTGTCTGGGTAACTCAGGAACTCATGTTTATTGTATGTAAACTGTATGATGCCTGTGTTCACGGTTATTGTCTGCAGCTTAAAGTGATCACTTGGAACAGGGGGTGGGCACTAATAAGCTTTCTTGCTTCAGCCTACTCCTTTTGAGCCACTTTATAACAGTGTAACCTTGTAACAATGAAAAATATGTTTGTAAAATGCTCAAATAAATAACAATCAATCAATCAATCAATAGTGTGTTTATGTAAAGCACAAGAAAGGTCTTATGGTCTGAGTTTCACCTGTATATTCTCTGCTCTGCCACTCGCTGACCTGTGACACGAGGCGCCTGCCCGAACACCTCCGACTGTGGCAGGAGGCTGTGACTGTGGTGTTGGTGACTGAAGTGTGAGCTGACGGCTGTGGACCATGTGTACGTGAGACCATAAAGGAACAGCCTGTCATATTTTAATGTTAAATAA